GGTGTGACGGGGATTCGAACCCGCGACCCTCAGATTACGAGTCGAGTACCTTAACCACCTGGCCATGCCGGGCCCCTTCATGGACTAATTCTTCTATCATAGAAAATGTTCACGTTCTAACTATTCGCTCATTTTCCCAACAGCTCAAGATATTTTCCTAAATTCAGCAAGTCATAGAAACCTTAACATTAAAAAGTGTATCGACATACTCAATTCTTCTGCTAATTCCACTCTTCTTCCTCTTAAAAGCTGGACCTTCTTCTCTCGGTCTTGACCATAGTCCTCTAGAACCTCCTTGATTTCTTTCTCCAGCCGACGTGCTGCAGAAAAACCAGATGTACTGTTCTACAATAGTAATTTCATATCAACATTGTATAATATTATCTAAAACATATTAGAAAAATAACAAGATTACAATAAAATCAGAACCGCATACTATCTTTAAAATACAGTTTTATTCAAATTATAGCCATTAGTTTTTTAATTCCATTTTGTTTGCAGTAACCGACTATTATTTGTTTGTGCTGTCTACATCTGGTTAAAATTATTTCTGGTTCACTGTGAACTTTTTTTCTCTTTATTGGTAAATCCTTTTTTTTTTAAATGTTTCGGACAAAGTTCAAGGTTCACTATGTACAGCTTTTCTATTACTTGGCACAAGGCAGTGAATGTTTATTGAACTTTTATATAAACTCTTTGACTTCATAAACGTTATTTTGGTTTTAATAATGGATTTTCCATAATTCAGCTACTCAGATTTCGAAAAACAATATTAATATTTTTCTGTAATGTAAGGGATTTTTTTTACAAACCGGGAAGGAAAAAAAACACTCTTATTTACATCAAATTATTATTTCGTTTACCACAATGCACATTTTTTATTATTATGTTTGGATTCTAGAAAGATCGATAAGCCTCTCACATTGCGATTGGTCTAGAGAAATCTATAGCCAGTGGATGTCAACATTTTTAGCATCACAAAAATGTGACCCAGTTTCAATTAAAATGATTCACTTATGTAAAATTACATATGACGTTTAGTGAAAAATCTGTACGTGATGGAGAAAAGTGGATATCATTTTCGGAAGTCAGCGTACAGGAATTACTGTAGAACATGTAAATATTTCAAGATAATAAAACCATCACAGGCCTGTGTTATCAGTACCAAACTTTCTGGTTTTACCACTGTCATCCAAGATATTCTTACCTTCCCTGTTCATTACTTGTTGTCTCAAGGCATTAGCTGTTGTATGAATCATTCGTTGGATTCGCCAAAATAACACCACGTCATTACAGTCCAACTATAAATACAAAGAAATATTACACCTAAATCATAATCCAACACAAGTCTCTACATAACATATTGTCCATTATATCAGATAATAATAATAATAACATATTCAATTCTCTCAAGACAATGCTATTATTCATCTGTTATAATTAGATTGAAACAGAGGACACACTTGAGTTTGTTGAAGAATCTTTTTCTACCTGTTTCAGACACATTAACATTTTTTAAACTGTTTAAATGCTTTATTCGATGTGCTCGACATCTTCATGTAAATCTGAATGATGTTTACCATTAAATTGCTAATAGCTGCTGGCGTAAAATGTATGATGTCATCACTCACCTCCGATTCAAGTCCTTGGTGGTACAGATAAAATCCTTTTCTATAGCGTAAAATGTATGATGGTCATCACTCACCTCCGATTCAAGTCCTTGGTGGTACAGATAAAATCCTTTTCTATAGCGTAAAATGTATGATGTCATCACTCACCTCCGATTCAAGTCCTTGGTGGTACAGATAAAATCCTTTTCTACATTCTTGAACTTTATTATGA